TTTTAATTTGGATGGTGGAATGATGTTATCACTCATAAACAAAACGTCCCCACATTGTTTTGCCTTGGGAGTTCTCATGTCCATTGTTTTTATATAGTGAATTTTATTGTATATAAATTATCCCTCAATAAAAAAAATAGTGATGTGCCTTTGGGATTATATGTAGAAAGTAGTCCATTTTCGGAGGGGTCGCTGCTGCCAGTAGCTGGCTAGACCCCAATCAAACATGCAGAATCATTAATTAGGGTCATTTGTTCTGCTGTGAGCTGAGCAGAATGTATATATAACCTGCTCAGGAGAGAATTAATTCATCCTCCTCTCTACTTTCTAGAGTCCTGCTAGCACGATTCTCAAAGCCTGCAGGCCTTATACATATGTTCTAATGGGCTAATTGTTAAGGCGACATTTGTAAATTAATCTCTGACTTGAGCTAAGTGGTTTCCCCTAATGGCTCTAATTCAGTGACTCCCATTCTTGGCCATATATCAGATTCACTGGAGGAGCTTGTGAAAAATAGAGGTGCCCAGCTTCCCCATCCCCCCAGCTGGCCATTCTCTGGTTCCAGGGCAGGATGAGGGCATCTCTGTTTTTTAAGAAGTGCCACTCAAGTGATGGGATTGTGGGGGGAGCTGCCTCTCTGAGCCTCTGCTCCAATCAGTGTCTGGAGGCCTTCACAGACTCATGACCTGTGTCTATTGAAAGCACTTGGGTCGAACTCAACAGCTTGAAACCAGTTTCTAGAACAGGCAGCGTGTCTAAGAGCCCACCTTCCTGATTCATTCATTCTGGGTTCATCTCACTGGGACTGTCCTTTCCTTGAAGACGTTCAGCGACCTGATGGGGGATATTCTGTTCTTTGCCATCTTGCTTCCCATTTTTATGAACTTTCTGAGATGTTTGAGAGATCTTCAGGGCCTGCTGGAATGTCCATCATGAAAATATCTGTGGATCTCCCCCTCTCTGTTCTCCACTTACCATCAGGCTCCTGGTGCCAAGTGTTAGGGACAGAGTTGTTTGTTTGTTTTAATGCAGTGTGTGTGTCTGTGGGTCTGTGTTCCTGGCATTCTTCTGTGCAAACACATGTTGTGTTTGATCTTGCATTTCTGAGAACAGATAACTCAAGAGTACCCTTGTCTCAATGACATTAATCAAATCACTTTTGTTAGTATCTGGCACCTCCGTAAATATCGCTCGGTACTTGGTATCACCACATAGCTTGTAGGTATTTTCAGTCAAGCTAAGAATATGGCAGTTCACACCGTCCCAGGTAGCCGCAGTGATTTGGTGGTGACCCCAGCCTGTGAAAAGCTAGAAAGGCTCTGGCAGAGGTCAGCACACAGTGTGCTGCGAGAGGGAATGCTCATACTGTCCCATATGTCAGACTGTGTTTACAAGGTCTTGTTTGCGACAGTGCTTTGTAAAGTGCTTGGTTACTGTAAGGGGTCTTCTGTGACTCCGCTGCTGGAGGGCTAGCGTTTCTCCATCTTGGGTATTCTGCTTCTCTTGGCCTCATTTTACCATGTCCCTTGGGCTTCAGTGCCTTTTATCCCTGGGACTATCGAGGCATATGGAAGGACTCCCATTGGCTTCCCCCTTACTGAAGGAATGCTAGAGTAGCCATTACAGGTAGGAAGAAGGGACACTTTGAGAACAAAGAGCATATTGAGACAAGAGCCTCTATGGTTCCTGCCCATCCCCAACTTCTTCTCCCATTTATATCTTTACCTAGTCAATACCTTATTACAGATTGACTATACCTATGCCATACAATTGAGCACTAATTGCATAACATAACATTGATTACTAGGTAAGGATTACTCCACAAAGAAGTATATTTCATGACTCCAAGTAGACTTTTTCCATTTTTCCTAGGGCTTTAAGTATAGCAGATGTGAAATAAATACTTAGATAATTATTTGGGGCTGCTCTATAACATAACCACTAGCATTTAGGCTAAAAATCTAACCATTTTGTATAGTCGGACTGAATTTTTTCATATTTAGAGAAGATTTCTCAGACAGTGGGGGATTTATCAGAGAGAGAGAGATAAGAGATGGAGAGAGAGCGAGCACTTGCTAGTCCTTTGCCAGGGCCCCGTAGAAGATGAGTCCGTTGGATTCCTATTTTCATGGCGTAATCCAAAGGGTTGATTCATTTTCTGCAGCACCTGGATCCAGGTTGACAATGTAATCAAGCCTGACATGATAAAGAGCCATTTAGCAAGTTTTAAAAATCACATGCACAGTTGCCTTAATCCTGAGAAGCTGGTCCCCTCCCCATTGATCATTCAGCCCTGGAGGCCGGTGGGTGGAACAGTTTGGGCACCTTGTACCTCCTCAAGAGCAAGCCTTCCGGCCGAACATGGGGACCCAAGAACAGGTTCACTCATCAGGATCTTCAGCTCTTGGAGGCCATTTTCCTCTTGGATTTCTTCCCTCCCTTACCCTATCAGAGAGATGCTGATATTTGAGTTTGCATCTTAAGAAGCTAGCAGGAGTCCTCCCCTCCTGTCACTGGCTGATTTGCTTAAATAAGCTGCACATTATTCCCCGTCACAGAGGCCGAGTGAAGGCAGCTGGGACAAATTAGTGTCAGCTACTTCGTCTGGCCCCCCAGTGCTGGGAAATCTTCACCATTGCAGGAGAGCTTAGATTCTGAGCTTGTTTCATAATGATGTAGATGCCATTTGCAAGGATTTGTATCCTCTTTCCTCCCCTCTCCCCTGCGCCCCTGCCCTCCCTTCCCCTCATTGGCCGGTATAGCCAGCTCGGACCAAAGCTCAGCACACACACACACACACACACACACACGCGCACACACACACACACACACACACACACACACACACACCCCAGCTGACAGAGATTAGTCTTGGGTCAGCTGTTTATGAATGAAGAAGAGGTTCTTCCCCTGTGTCCTGGCCACGCCCCTTCTCTTTGCAGCATTTTGAGAATGAGGTCGGGGCCAGGATCTAACTGCTTATGTCTCAGAAATAGCAACCAGATCAAAATTAATCTTAAGCTATTTGTTTTGCTGCCTCATTCAGATAATACAGGGAAAAGCCGAGGCTTGTTTATGTTTTTGTTTGTTTTTGTGGATGACTTTGCAAAGAATGAATGAGTGAGTGTGAGGGGAGAGCCTGGGGTGAGCCTGCCAAGGGGATTAGCACCGAAGAGATGGTGATTGCCAGCAGACTGCAGTGTTACCTTGGATTCAGCTGCAGCGTGGTTTAGGTTTTAAGACAAAATGGAAGAATTAAATAAGCCCCAGTGGTATACTGTTTTACCACTTCCTTTCATAAGGCTAGTTTGTTAGGTGCTATGAGGCTGTGTCTTCCTTCCACAATGTCGGGCTGTTTGTCACTGTCACTGTTTACTGTGTGGTCGGCCGTCTGTCCAGTAGCTCCATGGGGTTCTGCAATGTTTTCAGTGAATACCGTATGCAGATTTCATTTCCCCTCCACCACTGTGGTGCACACACACAATACAGATATGTGTGTGTGATCCTTTCTCTCTCTCTCTCTCTCTCACACACACACACACGGCTTGACCGTGCCCAGTCATTACATAAATTGGGATTCATCTCTCTGCCAGCTGATGTCAGAGGGATGGCGATATGTAGATACTCTGAGGAGACTGGCACTTCTTTTCATCCAAAGTGTCTTTCAGATATTAGCGTGTCTGAAAGGTATTTGTTGGTGGTGTGTTTGGCGGTGGTGTTTACTTTTGTTTCCAATCTTCTCATCTTTCTTATTAGCATCCATTTAGTTGCCCTACTGGTCTCCTCTGTGAAAGCCTAAATAAACAAACTAGAATGGAGAGTGTCGGTGTCAGCCTCAGCTGCGACATATGCACTGGATGGGCTTCAGTGTGACAGGTGTCCTTTGGAGGATATGCCAGACTGTCTTTTATATCAGTGGCGATTAATTTTGAGTGAAGAGTTAAAGATGAACTAGGATTCTCGTGTAGCTGGCTCTCATGTATTACCGAATTTGGCTTTCCTCACCTAAACCATTTCCAGAATACTTGGGAAGTGTTGTAACTACACAGGCACACATGTGCGCACATGCACACACACACACACACATTTGTACAAGCAGCAAATTTGTGCTTTTCAAACTGATGGTTCTTGCCTGGAGACAGGAAGTAAATCAGGGGTTGCCTAGGACTGGGGGCAGGAGCAGGGATTAACTGTTCATGGGTGTGAGGGGTCTTACAGGGATTGACGAAAATGTTCGAATCTAGATGACAGTGATGGCTGTACCACTTGGTCAATTTACTTGAAGTCATTGAATCGTATGCTTAAAATGGGTGAATTTTATGGTATGTAAGTGGTATCTTAGCAGAGCTGTGAAAAATTGATATTCCCATATTTGAGTTCCTCTGGGCGGAGGTTGCACATAATATGACCCATTGTATTACCCTAAATGTTTACCTGCCCTTCCCACTGGAGAGTGCTGACTTCAGTTGCGGAGAAGCTAGTCCCGGTCGATGACAGGGCAAGATGAGACTCAGCGCCACAGATACAAGAGTCTGCCCTGACCCCTGTTGGCCAGCACTGAGGTTGCTGCCCACTGCAAGGTGCGGAGGCCACATCAGGGCATCCTGTGGGGACCTCCAGGGGGCTGAGATTCCCAAGCTGGTCCCAGAAAGTAGTCGGAACCCTGCTTCCCAGCTGCTGCTGCATGTGTCAAAAAAATCGGAGGGGGAGACGAACCATGAGAGACTATGGACTCTGAGAAACAAACTGAGGATTCTAGAGGGGAGGGGGGTGGGGGGATGGGTTAGCCTGGTGATGGGTATTAAAGAGGGCACGTTCTGCGTGGAGCACTGGGTGTTAATCGCAAACAATGAATCATGGAACACTACATCAAAAACTAATGATGTAATGTATGGTGATTAACATAACATAATAAAATAAAATTAAAAAAACCCAAAAACCAAACACAAAGCTTCCGGGTGTTGGCTCTTAAGTGATGACATATTCCTCTTCTTTTGCAGGTTGTCTTAGTCTTTGCTCTCAGCATTGGTGCACTTGTAATATACTTCATAGATTCGTCAAAGTGAGTATTCAAATACGTTGTCTTGCCCTCTTTGCTAAAACAATCATGAGCCTCTGCATTGATCAATTGATTTACTTTAACACCAAAATTTAGAAGGCTTTCAGAGGAAGGCAGGGCAACCCTGTGCTGGTTTTCTGAAGGGGAAAATAAGCTTACAAAAGGAAGGTTACTTTGATTCTGCTGGCACAAGGGGGAGGGAGAGGTACCTGATGGTAAGCCTTTTTGCTGGGTATTATTTATTTTGAAATAGTTGTGTCCTGTTGAAGTATTTACACTAAAGATGTCGAGAGGTTAAGAGGGCTTTGCTATGAGTGTCCAACCACTGGGACGGTTACAAGTATCCAGCCAACGAGGGCCTGAGCCATTCTTGCCATGGATGTAAGGTCCTCATCTCATTAGGGTTTCTGATGCTTTAATCTTATTGGAGTTCAGATTAAGAAGCATGGCTCTCTCCTTTGCCACTATCAAGCAGAATATTCCGTGGGAGCATTGCTCGTTGGTGCTTCTCGACTTGTGAAGGTAACAGATGGGATGGAGGAGTTCATGGCGACTCCCAGAGGTGGAGGCCTATGGCCATCTAGGATTTCCTAGAGCGGACATTCATGCAGACCCCTAGGGTGCGAGCTGAGTGACCTGGTACTCTAGGGTGAGCCTGAGGTGGGGTCTTGTGTTAGAGTTTAAGACTTTATAGGAGGCAGAAGAGGTCACTGAGCAGAGCTGTTAGGTGGTGGCCCACTCTGCCCGGGTTCCTGCAGGTGTCACCCCAGGGTACCTCATTTGTTCCAACTATTCTACTGCAAGCTTGAGGCTGACAGCGTCTGGGAAGCTGGAGCCGAGCTGGTCTGATGCGCCTTTCTGTGGTGACATGAACTTGAACTCTTTGCCTGCATTGTCCACTGTGAGAGTGTTTTCACCTCTTTAAACTCTATCCCTGGTATGGCAGCCTACTAGAGTTTGATTCCAGGAACCTGCTTTGTGTCCTTGTTGGCACAGACCCTGGTGTGCCTGAATTCTGAGCTTAGTGCTCTTTTTCTGTGGCTCAGGATGGTAGTAATTTCATGCACGCCTAAATTCTGAATTTCTCAGAGGCATCTGGTCACCATCCAAAGGATTTTGTGCAATTGGGTGCTGAGGCCAAAATGCCATGTCAGGGAAAATAAAGAAAGCATCCCTTTAATCACTTACCTCTGGGAATCAGCCAAGTCTGAGAATATCAGAGATCCTTCAGCCTGACCTCATGCACAAGGCTGGACTGCCCTCATCCGCCTCAGGTGGAGGGTCCTTTCAGAGCCCTCCAGGAGACAAGATTCTGCATGCTCCCTCCATCAGCTCTTCCTGGCCAAGAAAGAGAAGGGCTGTTTAAGTCTGGAAAACTCCAACTGGTATGTCATTGAAGGTAAGCCTCTTTTAAATATCTACCCTTAATGATTCTGGATCATATTTGAATTGAACCAAAGATCTTCTAAAGCCCTGGTCTTATTTCTCTGTTCTCTTCCCAGGAGTGAGGAGTGTTCTCACGTGTCAGGGGGTGCATACCCTGTCAACTTCCATGCCAGGCTCAGGAAATGGGTTTGGGCATGTAGTATGTGTGCCCCAGACAGAGCAAACCCTTACATGGAGGTGAGTGTGGTGATCGGTTAGGAGAGATGCCTCGGCATCTTCTTTCCCTTCCCCACCCTTTCTGCCCCTCTGTATTTCTCGGAAATAAAATGCTCTTGTTAGATGGATTTGAATTGTGTCCTTTTTTACAGTGTCTACTGAGAGGTAGTCTGTTCTGTAGATTCTGGTGTTCTCGGCTCTACCTGAGGATGGAAAGGAATGGAATTCTGCAAGGCAAAGAGCCCCTTCCCTGTATGCCCTGCAGCACCGCAGTGTCCTTTGGGTTTTGTTATGATTTTCCTAAGTCTTGGGAAAGCCAGCAGTGGGAGCCCTCTCTGGCTGTGGTTTCTTTTATGGACTTGCAAAGAGTCTATTCCAAAGATGGGCAGTCAGTCCTATTTTCCGCTTTTCTCAGCAAAAATGCCAATAATCTTGGAACCAAGCTTGTCCCCATTCTCCCTGGGGACTGTCCTAGCCTTAGTCTTTCTTCTCTGTGACTGACCTGTGTGGTTTGGCATAGCGAGACTTGGTTTATAAGAAGACCTTACATTTATTTCTGTCAGCCCTTCCACTTCTCATTTGCAGTACTGCGTTTGGTTATAGCCATCTCCCAAGGTTCTGTCCTGTGGGCCACCTGATCAGCACAGCCAATACCAAGGAGTCTTCCATCTTCCTGGGGGTAGTCGCGGAGCATGCTCACATTAAGTGAGGGGAAGAAGTAGAATCTGTAAAGTAACCTTTACGGCAAGTCCACGGATTCCCAGGAATAAAAAAAGAACATATGAGACATTGTAATCAAGCAGAGTAAACAAGAGAAAATTAAATTCTATCCACATATAAGGTGCAAATGGAAAATGTGTAAGAAAGTTGAAAGTAAATTCTTAAAATCCATCTTCCCATTCAAACTCTCATCGATTGGACACACTGGTGGTTTGGCTGGCCATTTGGGCATCTCAGAAAGAGAGCTTTAAACTTCTCTTGGGAAGTTACACTATATTATCTCCCTGGAAAAACCTAGTATTCTTCAGACCAATTTTTGTTAGCATTTATGCCCTTCGAATATATCAGTCAAATGAATAAATCTACAGGCTTTCCCTTTGCATGAGCTTAATTGGGCAGACACTGTTGTGAGGTGCCTTGTCTCAGTGAATTTTGATCAGAGCTGGCCTCCCCAACAATGGTGGGGAAGGCTCCAGCAGCACAAGTTCAAGATGTAAGGTTCTCTGCACCCAGCCTCTTGAAGAGGCAGATTAATATATGAAATATGCTCTGGTGGTCTGCCCTGCTGGCTCAGTGTCAGGCAGGTCGATTCAGGTTGTGCGAATGGGCTGGCAGGCTGGGTGGTTTGGTTATTCCCTTTCCTTGTGGCAGCAGGTAGGGAAGACAGTTCAGATACGTGTCATAATTTGTGGCTCTCTGATCTTGTTAACCTTTCCAAGCTTATTGTACTACCAAGAGGCAGTGGGTAAGTCATTTCCAAAGAGCCTCTCCTACACATCTTTCCTTTCCTGTTGTTAGGCCAAGATAGGTCCCTGAGCAGCTCTTTTTCATTCAAGGATTTGAGAAGCCCTTCTTTGGGTCTTAATTTTCCTAGAGTGATCGCCACAGAAGAATCACTTGCGCAGCCTCGAGTGATTGCTATCTAGCTAAGACAGATTGTGCTCAGAGCTCCTGGAGTTGAAAGCCAAAGAGAATTACATTAAACTGTGTTAAAATTACGCTTCATCATCCCAGCGGTAGACTCTCTAGAAATACCCAAGCAGAGGGAGTTGTTCCTCCAAGTCTTTGGATAGACACAAGTGTCAATTCCTTACAGACACAGAGAAGCGTTAAGCCCTCCAAACAGAGTAACCCCATCTCTCAAAAGATATTAAATTAGCCACACGACGCAGATATTGCCCAAAAGAACTCTGTTTCTTTTTCATTCTTTTTAAAGGTGTTCTGCCCAATTTAAAGCATATGCCACTCCAGCTCCTAATTCTGATGTCTCTTGATCTCTATGCCGACCCTTTCCTCCCACATGCTCTGATACTCTGTGAAGCAAAGATTTTTTAAAAATTGTACAACCGAGTCAAAAGTGCCCCAGACACCCTGTGGGTGATAATGTCACCATTGCTAGTTCCATCCCTGTCTGTTTCCTCTCTTTGACATAGGAACAGTAATTCTTCTCTAATAGATAAGAAAAAAAAAAAAAAGACCCAACGATGTCAGTGTGAGGGCAGGATTCACGGGTTGCATAATGCAGCAGTTTCTGCTGCTTCTAGAATTTCAAGAGAAAGTTGGAAAAGACAGAGGCTTCAGGCCCTGGGTATTTGCATTTTTTCCAGGGGCATTCTTGGAAAGGATGACTCACCTGTGGGGAGATATTTATTCCTTTGATTCATGTTTAAACTCAGTTACTTCTTATGCTACAGTTATGTGGATTATGAATATTTAATACTGCGTATACTGAAAATGAAGGTCAAGTCCTGCTTGCTGGTGACTTCAGTGCAGGCTCATGCTTCTGCAAGGCAAGCTACCTGCTGTTAGCCGAGTAAAGCTGAAAGGTTATACATTGTTAAAATTTTCCTTAATGACTTTATCTGCTCCAAAATTATCTGGCACACAGTGGGGGCGCCTGCTGATTTCACCAGTCTTTGCTCTTGCCTTCCCATATCAGCGATGCTGCTTTGGAATATGGACATTAGGAAGGCGGAGGGAAGAGCAGTACAAATTTTGGAGAGCATCTCATCCAAGGGCTGGCTTCCAGGGTAATGGCAGTGTTATGATGTGAAAATGGTCCTCCCCAGGTCTTCAACGTTCATTTAACATTTTACATATGTATTCATGGGCTCATTCATCCTTGTATTCATTAGCTCACTTGAGACCTCTACGCTGAAGATTTTCCATGCGGTAAAATTGCTTAGGGTTAGGTATGGTTAAGGAAGATTATCTTTAAGATTTGCAGTAGAAATTGACCAGATTGCTTACATCGTCTCCAAAAATAAAACTGGTACCGTTGATGTGATGGGGATACCCAGAGCTTTCGTGGAACTGGCCAATCCCCAGCGATCTTACCCGTTGAGTGTTCACACAGGCGGGCCTCTAGTCTCCCAGCCAGGAAATTCTCCTCAGAAAGGAAGAGACAGGCAGGTGGCTGGGAGAACTAACATTCACTGATCATAGACTGTGTGAGGTATGGTGCTAAGCACATTACAATACACATCACACATGACTTCACTTAGTTCTCCCAACAACCTGATTGGGTGGGTATGACTGCCCTTCCTGCTGTGCAGGTGAGGAGGCTGAAGATGCACATTTGTCCCAAACCATGTAGCTCGTCCATCATGGAGTCAGGATTCGAACCCAACATGTCTAAAGGCATCTCTCTTCCAGGTGTCTCGAAGTACAATTCCAGACTG